ATGATGATGAAACATAGTGATATATATTGATTTGTTGTTCTTGTGTTGAAGCTCGGGGATTTTTCGGGGTTGGGGAAACCCGATCCCCGTTAAGGGACGGGAGGGGTGATGGGTTCCCCCGTCGGGGATCAGGGCGGGGACGGAGATTTTTTAGCCTTCGGGGATCGGGGACGGAGAGTGTAGTCTCCGGTCCCGCTCCGTTGCTATTCCTATATACTAGTACTTTATTGCGTAACTTAAGTTACCTCCAGTACCTTTCTTATGAATTTGGGGTTGTTTTTTCCATTTTTTTTTTTTTTTTTAGTAATGGGATGTTTTTACTTTCATTGTTTTTTTAATTAGCTCCCAACTTACAAAAATTTGTACCCCTCAAGTAGTTGATTTTGTAATAGATTAAAAGTTTATGCATAATCTATTTGTGGGAGCCGAGTTTGAGATGCCATATACAAATAGGAGCCGCGTGTAAGTCGGCTCACAATGGTTTTACCCTTGGGATAAGATTGCCGAGAAAACGAGTAAAGTGGGCCGGCCGTGGCTGGATAGAACTAGATTGCGGGCCGAATAGGCCATAAATTCTACCGAATAATTGGGGGTCCAGCTGTCAGGATGGGATGTCCATAATAAGAAAATGGCCCCCATAAGAGTAATATAAAAAAGAAGGAACATCAGCCAAAAGGAAGAGAGGTGAGAAAAAGATAACTTGAGATATAAGAAAAACTTGAGTGAAGACTAACTTACCCGTCGGAGTGCTAATTCTGATACCCCTAACCGGATTGTTTATTCCCATTTTAGGTACAAACTCAAGGATCAAGAGAGTTTGCTTGGGCCAAAGGGTATTTCCAAACCACATCTCTACACTATCGTATCATTGTAATGCTATACAAAACTATTTTTTTACAACACTAATATTACAAATTTAAAATTTTTATCCAAAATCATCAATGTGTGGCTCAAATTCATCTGCTACATTAATCCCACAATATATTGATTAAATTGCAACAACTCATCTCTTGTTATGATAATTTTGTTGACACGTTTCCATGATTTGTAGACTTCTCTTTCTTACAAATTGTAATTAGAAACTGAGTTAGCATGTAATAATAAAATTTTAAAAAGTAAAATGAAACCAATAAATAAAGTGTCACATAAATTTGGAAGAAAATTATATGAAGTATATGTTTGTATAATACTAGTCAATTAAGAGATGATATTTAGGGATTTTAAGCTTTTTTTTGTGTGTGTGTGAACTAAAAATTTCTATTCAAAATGGTGATATAGGCAAACAATTATTCTATTTACACAAAAATCAATTATATTTCATGTACGTTTTTTCACAATATAAAAAGATAAGGTTGGCAAGTTTCAAGTAAGTGGAAAAGAAGTTTAGTGGGTAGGTTAAGTTTGGGAAGTGATTTTTTAAATAATTTTTAGTTTTTTTTTTTGTTTTGTTAAAATAATAAAAAAAATATGATATATTTTTTTGAGGAGTGTGCACTGTATGCATTATATAATTAAAATAAAAAATGATATAATTTCATATTTTCTGAATCATAACTAAATTTTTTTTAAAAATATCACAATTATAGGTATATATGATACATCTTTTTTTTTTAGAAGTGTGTATATTAGAATTTTCCTAATCGGCCTATATATGTGCCTGTTGATATTTCACTCAGGGAACCGAATTAACTTTAAATGCAGTCTTTAGACCCTTCGGTTTTCATCTTCAAAGGCATCACAGCTTCGACCCTTTATAGCTTCTTCTCTCTTCTGTTTATTGGGTATATATATTAGTAGAGAACACGCATCTGATTCTAGCATAGAAGACCCAAATTCAAAAAAACAAAAAATTGTGAAATTGTTTTTATCGGCATGGCTGCTAAACAAGTTGCAATAGTTTCTGTGAGAATTCTGGTAGATGAAGAGAAGAAGAGGGTAGTTTGTGCCGAAACTGGTAATGACTTCGTTGACATTCTCTTCGGTTTCTTGACTTTACCAATGGGCACCATTGTCCAATTCATCCGCAAGAATCGATCAGAGCTTGGATCCACGTCCAACTTGTACCGAAGCGTAGAAGCAAATTTCAGCCTAGACAATTTCTGGACTAATGTTTGCATGGATATACTGCTCCATCCCAGAACTCCATTAGAAACCATTTGCAGGCAAATTATACTAATCTCTCTCTGATACTTGTAAATGTTTTACTATTAGGAAGGTTGAGAAAGAGCAAAAAATCACAAATTAGCCCCATCGAGACTAAACCACATAGTTTGAGCCTCGTTTGGGAACTCTCCTTTTTAATCAAAAAGTCAAAAAGTTACTAAATTAGTCAAAAAGTCAACAATTCATACTAAAAAGCCAAAAGATTCTCTCTTCTCTCTAATTTTTGCACATCTTTTCATAAAAAGCCAAAAAGTCATCCCAAACATACTAGTTTTTTTTAGCTCATATTTTAGCCAAATAGCCAAAAAATTACTAAATTAACTGTTCCCAAACGAGGCCTGATTTAATTTTCTCAATACACAGTTAGTTTTCAAAATTTTCATGATTTAGTTTGATTTCAAATTTCATGAAACTATAAATAATGATTTGATTTATTCTTAAACTGAATCAATCTGAACCATCGTACCCCTAATTTTGAGTTTGAATTCATAGTGTAATTTTTTTACAACACTAATATTACAAATTTAAAATTTTTATCCAAAATCATCAATGTGTGGCTCAAATTCATCTGCTACATTAATCCCACAATATATTGATTAAATTGCAACAACTCATCTCTTGTTATGATAATTTTGTTGACACGTTTCCATGATTTGTAGACTTCTCTTTCTTACAAATTGTAATTAGAAACTGAGTTAGCATGTAATAATAAAATTTTAAAAAGTAAAATGAAACCAATAAATAAAGTGTCACATAAATTTGGAAGAAAATTATATGAAGTATATGTTTGTATAATACTAGTCAATTAAGAGATGATATTTAGGGATTTTAAGCTTTTTTTTGTGTGTGTGTGAACTAAAAATTTCTATTCAAAATGGTGATATAGGCAAACAATTATTCTATTTACACAAAAATCAATTATATTTCATGTACGTTTTTTCACAATATAAAAAGATAAGGTTGGCAAGTTTCAAGTAAGTGGAAAAGAAGTTTAGTGGGTAGGTTAAGTTTGGGAAGTGATTTTTTAAATAATTTTTAGTTTTTTTTTTTTGTTAAAATAATAAAAAAAAAATATGATACATTTTTTTGAGGAGTGTGTACTGTATGTATTATATAATTAAAATAAAAAATGATATAATTTCATATTTTCTGAATCATAACTAAATTTTTTTTAAAAATATCATAATTATAGACATATATGATACATCCTTTTTTTTAAAGATGTGTATATTAGAATTTCCCTTGTCGGCCTATATATGTGCCTGTTGATATTTCACTCAGGGAACCGAATTAACTTTAAATGCAGTCTTTAGACCCTTCGGTTTTCATCTTCAAAGGCATCACAGCTTCGACCCTTTATAGCTTCTTCTCTCTTCTGTTTATTGGGTATATATATTAGTAGAGAACACGCATCTGATTCTAGCATAGAAGACCCAAATTCAAAAAAACAAAAAATTGTGAAATTGTTTTTATCGGCATGGCTGCCAAACAAGTTGCAACAGTTTCTGTGAGAATTCTGGTAGATGAAGAGAAGAAGAGGGTAGTTTGTGCCGAAACTGGTAATGACGTCGTCGACATTCTCTTCGGTTTCTTGACTTTACCAATGAGCACCGTTGTCCGACTCATCCGCAAGAATCGATCAGAGCTTGGATCCATGTCCAACTTGTACCGAAGCGTAGAAGCAAATTTCAGCCTAGACAATTTCTGGACTAATGCTTGCATGGATATGCTGCTCCATCCCAGAACTCCATTAGAAACCATTTGCAGGCAAATTATACTAATCTCTCTCTGATACTTGTAAATGTTTTACTATTAGGAAGGTTGAGAAAGAGCAAAAAAATCACAAATTAGCCCCATCGAGACTAAACCACATAGAATGAGCCTCGTTTGGGAACCCTTCTTTTTAGTTAAAAAGTTAAAAAATTACTAAATTAGTCAAAAAATCAACAGCTCATACAAAAAAATCAAAGATTCTCTCTTCTCTCTAATTTTTACACATGTTTTCGTAAAAAGTCAAAAAGTTATCCCAAACATACTAATTTTTTTTACTCATATTTTAGCCAAATAGTCAAAAAATTACTAAATTAGCTTATTCCCAAACGAGGCCTGATTTAATTTTCTCAATACAGTTAGTTTTCAAAATTTTCACGATTTGGTTTGATTTCAAATTTCATGAAACTATAAATAATGATTTGATTTATTCTTAAACTGAATCAATCTGAACCATCGTACCCCTAATTTTGAGTTTGAATTCATAGTGTAATTTGCCCTTCTAAAATTATATAATTTTGGGTGTTTGCATTTTCATGTTGGAAATCTAATTACGAAGAGGTACGCTGAACATGGGTAATTTGGGAATAGAAAATATGGAGTGTTTTGGGAAAATAGTTAAAAATTAATTTTTTGACTTTTTAACATTTTTTATTGTTTTATGTAAAAGGTAATGGGACTCAAAATGAGTTAAAAATTGACTTTTAACTTTTAACCCAAATTCTCCAATAACCCAAGTTCTCCAATGATACTTCTCATTAACAGAGAGTTGTGTTTTTTTTTTTATATTTTAAATTTTAGTTTGCTACTATTTTTGCTATTATTGTGTCATTTTTTTGTTTCCGCTGAAAGGAATATTTTGACATAATAATTTTTAAAACAACTTCATCAAAGATATTATTAATTAAAATAAATAATTTTCTTGTTATAAATTAATTAAGGCTCTGTTTGTTTTATCGTTACTATTTTGTGTTGTTTGATTACATAATAAATCGTAGTTGATACTACTCAAATTACATATCATGTTTCACTTTTTTTTATACACATTGCACGTTTTTATTCTCTCTTTGTCCATTTATATATTTATGCATATATATATATATATATATTATGGTTATCAATTGATTGGAATTAGATTTTGAAATTGTTATTTTTTATACATTCAATTAGTATCTTACTAGCGGTAACCTGTGCGATCCACGGAAAAATAGACTATATATATTTTGTGTGATAAATAAATCATCTTAATCTTAAATTATATCTTAATAGCGACAAACCATAATATTAAGCCATCTAGGTAGATGTTAACAATAATTAACCCACAAAATTTTACAATAAAATTTGATATGCATAAGAAATTATTAATTATAAAAATTGTTGACAATAATAGTGTCACAATCACTTGATAACATAAATAACTTGTATCAAACTAAACAAAACATTAAAAGAGAGAAATTCTATAAGCTCAGAAAAGTTATCATAAATTTACTTGGACTAATCAGTGGTGTATATTATTATTGTGGGATCAAATTATGAATAAATATCAACTTTTAATAATAATTCATAAGTAGTTTTTAAAAAAATTTAATCTAAGTTTGTTGTTTATAGTATTATAAAAATTATATAAGAGAATAGTTTTAATCCATTTTATTTATAAAAAAATGATAAAAAATTATTTGAATTGTACTTGAAAAATATAACAAATGATAGCTTTAATTATTATATACCCAAAAAAAATTTATATCGGTTACTCAACGAAAAAATAGTCAAATACAAATAGAGTCGTGAATATTGAATTAAATCATATGGGATCTAAATTGATAGTATAATCTAGCAAATCAACTAATAATAACATAGAGATATTGACAAATATGTAGTACTTTCCTATCATCTTTGTATTATATTTATTAATTTCATATATTATATGAAAGTTTTATTCGCCTCGATCCTTCAATAAAATAAGGATCAAGAAAACAAATTTGATAAGAAATTGATTCTAAACTTAATTATTGAAAAAATAAAAATTTCAAAGAGAGAATTTAGAGATGATTGAAGAAATACTATAACGAATGACAGCCTTAAAAAAAAACATAACAATGATCTAATGCAAATTATTTTTAATAACTAATAGAAAGAATCTCAAATTATTACCTTTTATAAATATAGTGAAGAAAATTAATTTTGTGAGATTTTTGTGCTACCTTCTTCCATGTAGCCTTTATTATTTCATTATTAATACTATTCTCATTCAGTGCGATAAATTTTTTTTTTTTTTTTTTTATAATCTTTATCATTTGGTAGATAATAACGAATAATAAAAATTATCAAGAGAATGTTAAGAATATAATAGAAGATAAGAAGTTATAGATAAGAACATTTTATAAGATAAAAAATTTAAAATAAAAAAAGATAATACGTGATAGGAGAAAAAAAATGAGTAAATCAAAATAAAGATTTAGATATATATGTTTTTGATAGATATATAGATTAACAAATCATATCTTTATCTAAATTTTATAATTTTAATTTTTTGAAAATCAATTATTTAATCTTTATCTTTATCTGTAGGCCACGAAATTAATCTTTATAAATTATTTATCAATTTTTATATGTTTATTTATCTATAAGTCATGAAATTATTATTTTTAAAATTTTTATCATTATCTATAGGTCATGAAATAAATTTTCATAAATTATTTATGAATTTTATATGTTTATCTATAATGAAATTAATTAAAGTACGAAATGAGGGGAAAAAAAGAGTAATTTTGTTTTTTTTTAAAAATCAATTATTTAATCTTTATCTTTATTTGTAGGCCATGAAATTAATTTTTATAAGTTATTTATCAACTTTTATTTGTTTATTTAATTGGAAGAAATTTTAAATTATCTATAAGTTATGAAATTAATTTTTTTTAAATTAATTGTTTATTTTTTATCTTTATCTGTAGATTATAAAATTAATTTTCAGTTTTTATATGTTTATCTATATGGACGAATTTTGAAATTCAAATCTTTATCCATAAATAATGAAATTAATTTTAATTTTAATTAATCAAACAAATAAAAAATGAAGAAAAATAGAAAACATGAAAGGCAATTAAAGAAGGTTGCCACGTAGGAAAGAAAGTGTTTTAAAATTATGAGAATTTAAAAATAAATATTTGGAAGCTTTTGACAAAATAACTACATTTGGTTATATATATATATATATATATAGTATAGATTCTATTCTTTAATAATAATATACAAACGGAATTTATTTAAAAAAAATTAATATAATGATTTATCACATTTACTTTTACTTATTGAAAATTAAAATTCTGATTATTATAGTTCATAATTGTAAGAATGATATTGAATTATTGTTTTAGTTTAAATCTACATGAAAATTATGTATGAATATCATATTTTTATATTCTTTTTCATTTTAAAATTTTCCCTATAGACTCTTTATTTTTATTTTTATTTTTTTATTGTAAATAATATTTTAAGTGCTAACCAAGCACCACAAAACAAAATAAAAATTTGTTTTTAAACAAAATCATTTTGCATGAAATATTTTACGCTAAACAAGTCTCAATTTTATTCTAATTTTTCATGTTTTAACTACACATTAAAATGATCCAACGGTGCTATCTTGTTTGACCAAAACTTTTATACTTTATTACTTGGAAGTCACTGGTTTGAATCTTCCCACCTTCATGTGTCTTATTTTCATTATATTATCTAACATTTATTATTATTAAAAATTAACATTGTTTTCTTTATTTTTTTTATTTAAATATTCTATTTATTTTTTCGTTATCAATGTTAAAGTTCTAGTTCTGACTATTGCAAGGGTTTGAAAATAAATGTAAATGATTCAGAGCCCACAAGGTACTTCATATGTTCTGATTTAGAGTGCAGTCGAAAACAGAATATTGGATTGTTTAGTAATTATGTGAACTATATACGTAAATGTGGGAAGTTGATGAACAAAGAGATATTTGCTTTGACTTCGGCCTCCAATACCAGAGAGACAGATGGCGTGTTTGTCACCCGATCGACAGCTTATATTGTCAGTGACAGTTTCAAAATAACTGCCAGCACACCAGGAGTTCTAGTTGAATTGCTTCGCAATACTGGTATCAAAGATTTGAATTGTCTCGAAGAAAGAGTTGTCAAGGTTGGCTCTGAGGAGGTAATCGCATTCTTATTTGTAACTAGAAGAAAAATCACAATCATTTTATTTTTCTTTTCTTTTTTAATTTTTGTAATCATTTTTTTTTCTCTTCTCTTAATTATGTTCTGTTGATAAAAAATACCAGAGAAAATAAAATTTAAATAAAAAATGAAAAAGAAAATGAGATGCAATCAAATTAGATTGAGACACAACTATCTCATTTTTTTAAAGAGATCAAACTCACTGCGGTGAGAAGAATTCTAACACTGGTGCAACAGTCACCAAACTTTGATGATGAAGCCGAAGCTCCGCCATTCTTATACCTCCTCTTCTTGTTCCTTCTTTCCACCTGTCTTCATCTACTCTCCTAGTTAATGTGAAATTCTCTATAATTCCAAGTACTTGATACTTGCCAATGACCATAATCTCCCAATAACTTCTCATTCATGGATCATGTGAAATGTCTCAAATTAAATAATTTATTAATTAATAATATTAAAATGGTCGAACATGTTCCCCAACATATTGTAAGTTTGATAAATTATTTATGATTTTCAAAATTGAATTAAATAACTTTGTGATGACTATTTGAAATAATTATATATGTAGCTTCTAGAAATTATTTTAAGATTTTTTTTTTTCTATTTGCAAGAATCCTATTAAAAATGCATCCATTCTATAATTTTTTTTTCCACCTATACTAAATAACTTCCTAATATTTTTTTATCTCAAATTTTTTGATTTGTAATTTACATCCAACCAAATGGAACTTTAATTTTTTTGGTTTTCTTAGTTCAAAATTATTGCCCTCTCACCAACTGTTATATTTTTGATCTCATCCAACTTGCCAAGTACCCTCTGTCCTCAGATTTTTTGTTTCTAAGTCTGATGCATTTTCAGCCATTACAAGTAAATCTCAATCCATAATTAAATAGAATTTAAGGCCAAGTTTGGCTACAAAGAAAAAAGTGCACTTATTTCATCTTTTTATCTTTTTTGGGTCACATCAATCAACATCTCCTCTCTACTTTTTTTACACATAATACAAAAAAAGTCAAAAAGTGCACTTATTTAGTCTTCCCAAACTAGGCCTAAGTAGCAGAACAGAGGGTTTTGTGGACATGTTGACCCCATGTCCACCATAAAGAAAAATCAGAAATTATTATATATATATAAAAAAAAATGCATTACAATTTTTTTTTATATTTTTATATAGAGAATGACATGTAACTTACTCATCTGGAAACAAATCATTGTAGTCCATATTGTTTTGCAAAAATTTTACAGGCATGTGCACTACTTAGAAATTATTGTAGTCCTGCAGTTGCATATTTTTTTTCATATAGACATGACATCTACCATACTATGGCCCTAATTGCTATCTACTCGCTTCTAGATTTTGAATCTGCTCGAGCGCTCTTTGGTTTCCAAGTCCCCTTTGACCGATGTATTTTTGTCAAATCAAAGTTACCCATCCGAGTTAAGCCTTCATAATTTCCTACCTCAAAACATAGTAGAAAAAGCAACTAGTGGAAGTATGGTAGTGAATATGGCTACAAAAAACAAGCCAACAGAGGTTGCTGGGAAGAGTGGGGAGCCTGAGGCTCTGTCAGGAGGGACTGCTGTTGAAAAGGCTGCTGAGGTCCCCAAGGAATCGGCTCCTAAAGTAGCTGTTCCCACAGCGACTGTGGACAAGGCTGACCAAAGGGGCTCAAAACGACCTGCCGAGTCCAGGGAACCAGTACAAAAGAGGGCGCGCACGTCTACTGCTTTGGATATAGCGGCACCCTTTGTTATTCAGTCGAAGGTTAAGGATGCCCATGTACCATTGGGTGCCTCGGCTCTTAAGGAGCCTGGCGTCACCTTGAGCCTGGCTGAGGCCATCATCCTTCCAGCAGACAGGGACATACGACGCGCCGAAGATGATGCTTTGGCCATAGCCCGTGTAGTTCAGTCGGCAATTAAAGTAAGTATTATGCCGAATTACATTAACAGTCAAAGTTTCAATAAACTTGAGTTCTAACGCAATTTTTTGCAGACTGCTAAGAGAATCGCCGATATTGGACGTCATCTTCGTAATGTTGACAGCAGCCGCTGACCATGCGATTGCAACTGGAAAGGCAGCCGCCGAACATGCAAAAGCCAAGGAAGCTGATCTGTTTCGTCAAGTTGCTGAGAAAAGAGCAAATACCTTTGAGACGGCTTACAAGGCAGCAGAGGAGGAGCTGAAAAGAGTCAAGGCTAAACTAGTGCATGCGTGGCAATCAACATTGGAGGCGTTCAAACAAGGGGAAGAGTCGGCCACAAATACTTATGCTAATGAAGCGCTGAAATTTGAAAATAGGGGATTCAAGCACGCGTGGACTAAGGCCCTTGCAACAGCCAAGGTCAGCTTGGATGTGCCAATCCCCTTGGAGAACGAAGAAGTTGAAGCGCTAGACTCTGACCCTGAATAGACTTGACTCTAATTAGCTTTGTCTTTTGTTTTAAGATTCTATTGTTTGTTTGTTGTTTTCTTTTTGTTTGTATTTTTTATATGTTTTGACTAGCTAGGGCCATTTTCATGTATAAAATGACTTGCAACTCAATTCAGTTTATTAAAGAAAGTTCTGAATAGGAATGGCAATGGGGGGCAATGGGGTGGATATTAATTCCCCATCCCCATTCCCCTATAATAAATTTTCCCCATTCCCCATTCCCCATTCCCCATGGGTACCACCCTCCCCATTTTTTAATGGGTATGGATTTTCCCCAACCCACTTTAATCCCCATTTTTATTTTTTATATTTAATGTTAACAAAAACTTTTTTTTTTTTTTAAGGTTCACAACAAAAACTAAATATACCTTCAATCTTTTTTCTTTCTTTTTTAATATATTTAATGTTAACAACCTTCTTGTTTTTTTATTTTTTTATTTTTTAATTTTTTAAGGTTCACAACAAAATTAAATATACCTTCAATCTTTTTTCTTTCTTTTTTAATATATTTAATGTTAAATTTTTTTTATTTATTTATTTATTTATAATTTATTTTTTATTTTAAGGTTCCAACAAAAGTTAAATATACCTCAATCTTTTTTTCTTTCTTTTTTTAATATATTTAATGTTTAACATTTTTTATTTATTTATTTATTTATTATTTATTTATTTATTTTTTTAAAGGTTCACAAACAAAAGTTAAATATACCTTCAATCTTTTTTCTTTTCTTTTTTAATATTTAATGTTAACATTATTTTTTATTTTTTTTTTATATTTATGTGTTCACAACAAAAGTTTAAATATACCTTCAAATCTTTTTTCTTTCTTTTTTAATATATTTAATGTTACACCTTCTTGTTTTTCTTTTGTCTTTTTTTTAATAAGGGTTTTAGCTAAATAATACCTTCAATCTTTTTTCTTTCTTCTTTTTTAATATATTTTAATGTTAACAACTTATTTTTTTTATTTTATTTTTTATTTTTTTAAAGGTTCACAACAAAAGCTAAAATATACAATTCAATCTTATTTAATTTTATTTGGTTCAACAACAAAATCAAATGCACATTAATTAATTAATTAAAAAGTTTGTTTTATAAAATAATCAAATATATAATTTTGAGAAATCAAAAAGTTTGTTTGAAGAAAGTGTTATAAGACTCATATTAAATTGGCATCAGGGCATAACACAAGGAATTGTTAGCCACGGACAATTTTAGACATTAAACCATCTTTCTCTTAGCAAATTTGAACAATTCATTTTAATTTATCCAAAATCTAATTATACCTTTAACAAATCTGACCACTCATTTTAAGATATCTAATGGCATTACCACACCCAATCCATCCTCCATCTTTTTTCCTTTAGTCCCCCAACGAATTTTTGTGAAATCTTAAAAATTAAAAAAAAAATGGTTGTGAACCTTAAAAATAAAATAAAAAAAGATTAGAGGTATATTTAGCTTTTGGTTGTGGATCTAAAAAAAAAAAAAAAAAAATGGTTGTGAAACCTGTAAAAATAAATAAATAAAAAAAGAAAAAGATTGAATGTATATTTGTTTTAGTTGTGAATCTTAAAAAAAAAAAAAAAAAAAAAATGGTTGTGACCTGAAAAAATAAATAAATAAATAAATAAAAAGATTGAATGTATATTTAGTTTTTAGTTGTGAATCTTAAAAAAAAAAAAAATGGTTGTGAACCTGAAAAAAATAATAAATAAAAAAAGAAAAAAGATTGAATGTATAATTTAGTTTTAGTTGTGAATCTTAAAAAAAAAAAAAAAAAAATGGTTGTGAACCTGAAAAAAAATAAAAAAAAAAAAGATTGAATGTATATTTGTTTTAGTTGTGAATCTTAAAAAAAAAAATGGTTGGTGAACCTGAAAAAATAAATAAATAAAAAAAAGAAAAAAGGATTGAATGTATATTTAGTTTTAGTTGTGAATCTTAAAAAAAAAAAAAAAAAAAAAAAAAAAAAAAAAAAAAAAAAAAAAACATATGGGAAAATTAGTGGTACCATCCCACCCATCCCCTGTGGGTATTTAAGAAATATCACCTACCCTACCCAATGGATAAGAAAAGAGGGGAAAACCCATGTATTTGGGTTGGGTCTCCATGGATACCCACAGGGTAGTTTATCCATTGGCCATCCCTAGTTCTGAAACTTTTGTGAAGAGACCAGCAGTTTTCCCTAGTATCTGATGGTTTGGTAGTGCACCGATTGGTTGGTACTACTTCAAGTAATCTCTTATCTCAAGGAGTTAAATGTTCCTATTGATGATATTGAGGAACATGTGATTAGAATCAGAAAGCATGAAAGCAAGATGTTTATTTTTGCTAAGAAATATGAGCAGAGTTGGTTTTAAATTTTTTTTTTTTTTTCTTTTCATGTAGGCATTGAACTTAAAGAAAGGCATCTTTGATGCACTTCATGATCAGGCTTTAAACACAGTGTCCTCAACCCCCATTTGAAGAAACCTAAGCAAGAATCGTGACATTTACAAGGCAAAACAAAACAACACACAATAACGAAGAAGGCTATGTTTTGGATCAAGAATCATACATGTTTAATTTTGATCACATAATGTGGTTTGATTTTTGTTGTTGTTGGAGAAAATGGTTAAAATTTCATCGGATAAAAACAAACCCAGAATTTT